TCGAGTCGGTTTTTCTTACAATTTATTATTTACAAAGATACAAAAATAAAACGATTGATACTATACTAATAAGATATTATGAATTGAAGCAGTTTCAGAGTGATGGGGAATCTTCAAGGGAACCTCAGTTTAAGGGAGCTGATGATCAACTGATTCTTTTCCCCGAGATTTCGCTCCACCATCAACTAGCATTTAACCCTAGTACCCCGTGGGCTGACCGACTAGCCCACCAGCCCCCGGGTTTCTGGAATAACGGAACTTGGCGCTTGGCTTCGATTTCTCCGCGTGGCTTGGGTTATTTATAGAATTCACATGCAAACTCAACTAAATCCGTTAGGATTCAAAATAGGATTCAAAAGTCCAACCGAAGGGTGAAAGGGGGGGGGGCATGATACCCCTAGGTAGCTATGATCTCAGCGATCTAAAAAATCCTTGAATCGCTGATCGCAAAAGATCAACAAAATCACCCATTGTTACAATATTTTAAGGTTCAGTTCTATGTTGGTGATGCAACAAGTATATTATAGGGTTCAGTTCGATGTTGATGATGCAACAAGTATTTTTTAGGGTTCAGTTTTATGTTGATGATGCAACAAGTATTTTTTAGGATTCAGTTCTTTGTTGATGATGCAACAAGTATATTTAGGGTTCAGTTCTATATATGATGATGCAACAAGTATATTTTAGGGTTCAGTTTTATGTTGATGATGCAACAAGCATGGGATATCCTGACAGTTTCTATAACGTAGTTTACAGGTAAACAGCTGGGATTTCAGAAATTTGTAAATAAAAAATAAAATGGCGGCAAAAGAATAAAATGGCGGCACAAGAATAAAATAATTCGTTTTCCATTGTCTCCGCCAAGAAAACAAATTCTAACGTTGGAAATGATTTCTAAATATATATGATAAAGATAATTATTAGCATGTTAAACGATTCTGATAAGAAATAGAATTTTCCTTTGTAGTTAGACACAATAGAATTGGAGAATTTTTTATTTCTTTCTCTTCTGAAGATACAAGATAACTCATTCTCTTCTTTCATGTTTCAAGGGATTGGTATCAGTTTTTAAGGGGAAAGGAAATAGTCATTTAGTTTATTTTTCACGTTTGTAGGTTCTCTAATGAATTTATTGTAACATATTAATCTTTTATACCATCTCATCTATATTCCTTCATCCTTCTCATAGAATTGCAATTCGATATGTTCCATATTTCGCGCTGCATTTTGCATTTTCAGTTCTATAACACACAGAAGACAAAAACTGCCCCCTTGTATGCGTAAATATTTGAGATTCCAAGGAAACTAATCTAAAAACTGATCTTGAATCAATATTTAGAACTACAAACATAATCACATAAATCTCCTATAGAAGAGGTTGGTGTACTGTCCTGTTTTGGCCGATATAATCGTGTACTGTACAGTTCGCTCCAGCTAGTTAGATGTCGCGTCGGCCCGGTTCTTGAAATGAACCAGACTTGACAGTGATACTGTACAGTACGCTCCAGCTGTTAGATGTCGCTGTTGGCCCGGTTCTTGAAATGAACCGGACTTGACAGTGATACTGTACACAACTTACCTAAAAGTCCGACTGATACTTCAAATGAACCAGAGTTTTGAGTGTGTATACATATATGCAAATAATTATTCTCGCATTTTCCATCTTGGTCCCTTCCTGGAAACTCCTAAATATAGCTGTAAAGCCTAGATAACATATTCTTTTTATAGTCGGGATACCATTCTTCACATCAAGGATAAACTTGGGCTTTTCAACAGATTTTATAAAACTCTCAAACCTGGAGGAAAGGTTCTTATCACAGACTACTGCAGGGGGGACCAGGTAAAAGTTTATGCAAGACCAGGTCAAGGTTAGATCAGGTCCAGGTCAAGGTAAGACCAGGTCCAGGTCAAGGTTAGACCAGGCCCAGGTCAAGGTTAGATCAGGTCCAGGTCAAGGTTAGACCAGGCCCAGGTCAAGGTTAGATCAGGTCCAGGTCAAAGTTAGACCAGGCCCAGGTCAAGGTTAGACCAGGTCTAGGTCAAAATTAGACCAGGTCATAGTCAAGGTTTGGCCAGGTCAAGGTCAAAATTAGACCAGGTCATAATCAAGGTTAGGCCAGGTCAAGGTTAAGATTACACCAGGTCAAGGTCAAGGTCAAGGTTAGACCAGGTCAAGGTCTAGGTTAGTCAATGTCGAAAACCTAGTTGTTTCCCACTGCAAACCAGTGTTTTGGTTGGACTGCATAAAACAGACAAGTTGTTTTTATTCTAGTCACGTCTATATACAACTATACACTTCTCCTTCGGTCTTCTTCACAATCTTGACAAAAGAAAAATTACTTTAAAACAAAAGATGTTTTAGATTTAAGAAAAAACATGTTTTTATCTCCACTCATTCTTGAAATATTTGATTGAATTAATGGATCGTAATTGTAAACCACATTTTTGCATTGGTTTCGTTAAATCTCTATTAATACATTTTCTCAGTTTTTTTTTCAGAAAAAAGCACAAAACTGTTATTTTATTTATCTGAACTATTTTTATATTAGTTTAGAAAGTATTTTCAGTGATTCCTAAGATTGCAAAAAATAAGATTTGAAATTATTTTTAAACACTAACATATTGAACAACTCCTGGTGGAATTCCAAAACTGGTCTAGCGCACAATTAAACGTATATATTATGCAGTAATAACTGTGGAATAGGATAACGACAATATATTAATACTTAAACGAATTTGATATTTTTAAATGGGTCTCTTTACACTTCAAAATGTCTGTGTCTCATGTGTATTGGGCTGTAAATAATTATAACTTGAGTTTAAAAGTCGTCTTCCTATACCAGAGTTTTTGGTTCCCACTGTATGTTGTGTCCTTCACAGCCAAAAAAATTTAAGAAATAAAATTCGTACATAATTTATAGAGGCATTTAACGTTAAAATCTTTATATCATTGCAACCTGATGGTATAAATCTTTGAAACTTAGACTTTTGCATCTAACCAAATTTTTTGTTTGAAATATTAAAAAAATTATTTTATTAGAAAGGTTGAATTTGTGCCGAGTGTTCAATTCTTTTATGTAAAATATGAAAAAAATATTAATCTCTTTACAATAAGGATGCAATTTTGATGTACAGTCTCGTTTTGCCTTGTACTGTCTGCATGTACACTTCCACAGTGTACAACTTCTTCTATCTGCCCACGGGTTGGCTCGGTACTTCAAATGAACCGGAATTTAAATTGATTTCATAAATTGTGCAAGTTGCAATAGTTAGACTAGTTCTGGGATTCTATAAGAAGTGCACAAAAAAATATATTTTATAAGAATTTATTTCAGGAGCACAGTGAACGGTTTCTTGAATATGTGAAAAGTAGAGATTATGATCTCCACACTGTTCAGGAAACGAGTTCTATTCATTTGTAAATTAAAATTTAAAGTTTTTTAAAAATTAAAGAAATCTCTATTTAACAACAAAAATACGATTAATCAGAATTTTTTTCCCAGAAATTATCAGTAAAGTGATAAAGTTAAAAAATTAGAAAATGAAGATAAAGTTTAAAGATAAAGTTTAAAGATAAAGTTTAAAGATAAAGTTTAAAGATAAAGTTTAAAGATAAAGTTTGAAGATAAAGTTTAAAGATAAAGTTTAAAGATTAAGTTTAAAGATAAAGTTTAAAGATAAAGTTTAAAGATAAAGTTTAAAGATTAAGTTTAAAGATTAAGTTTAAAGATAAAGTTTAAAGATAAAGTTTAAAGATAAAGTTTAAAAATAAAGTGAATTCTTACATCCTGTAAACCTATCTAAAAAAAAGATTGATGTTGACAAATGGGGTTTCAATTAAGAATATTTAATAATCAAATTTTTTAATTAATACAATTAATTAATACATTTTTCTTTGAATTAAGTTTTGTTCAAGGTGCACTTTTAAACTCAATATTTTGTAGTTTCGAAAGGGAAATCTAAAAATGTTTAATAGAAAATAGAAAAATTGAAATGGATTTGTTTTATTGAATGAAGTTTGACTGGAAACCCTATGAACTGGAATTGAAATATTTTATAACAAAGTTCAAAAACAAGACGCAAAAAATATAATGATTATGTAAACCCCCTTTTCAAAACCGACCTTCCATTATTTTTTGGTTTAAATTTGTTACTAAAACCGATTTTCTGTTTCCCACAAAATGGCGGCTGAGCCACCATTTTGTTTTCTCCCTTTCCGGCGAATAATAAATGTGTTAAATTGGAGAGGAAATAGAACTTGTGAATTTGTAAACCAGGCCTACGGTTCTATCCTAGAGAAAGCTGGATTCACAAATGTAAGTTTATTCTTAATCAGTCTCAGCCTGAGTCAGGGGATACAGGGTTACCCACAAAGGATGAGACTTCATGAGACTTCTGTTTCCTTATGTTCACGATTCCCTGCAACTGTAAACCTTTTTGCTTCTTTGCCAAATCATTGAACAAGCCATTAGGATACTATACCTAAGGTAGAATACACAAATGACCCCGGGGACTGTCATTTTTTTAATAGTTTCTGGTCGTCTTTACAGTTTGGGGGTAACCCTGTAGGTAAAGGGTAACATCACTGCGCAAGGTGCAGTGCCGCAAAGAGGGGTAGAATATGATTATGGAAGACGACAATAATAAGGATATTTTTTAATGAAGATATATAGGGGGCTAAAATATTACTGAGATGCATTATGACAGGACACTCTCCACTAAAATCCACTGTTTTTTGGTTGGTGTACTGCAAATCACTGCAGAACATACCTAAAGTTTAGTTAATGGTGATTGCTGTGGGACAGGCGCTCGAAACAAAGAGAATATATTATATATTAGAGTGGAATTTAGTCAGTCTCTCGGTTTGAATTTTGTCAGTCCCTTTCAGCCTGAAAGGGAGTTAAAAATGTACAAATCATGTAATTGTTCACAAATTATATGCAGTAGAGTACATTAATAGAGTATGTTCCCTAGATTTTCCATTTCAATTTCGAATTTTTTAAAGCTTGTTGTATTCCGGATTGTTTGATATATGAGTGAACAGTCCCTTGAATCCAACAGGAAGCCAGATGGATCAGTACATCCCGGACCGCTGCAGAGTAGACACAAGTCTCCCTGCACATAGCCGTCCTGGGACCTGTGCTATATACAGTGCACAGAAAGCTTACAGAGAGTATCCTTGTGGACGAGATCTACATTGAAGAAGATGAACCAGGTTCCTAACATAGTAAGGAACCCGGCCGTTGTTGGAGAGCTGGAACTAGATGGAGATGAAGTTGATCCAGCAGACGTCACCCCCTTCGTGAGCGGGAACGCCCCCATCATCACTGTCCCTGCTTCAGAAGATGAAGAAGCAGATGTAAAGGTTGTGGCAGGCGGAGCTGAAGGAGGACGAGATGAGACGGAGAACATGTACAACTTCCTAGGCGAGATTGTGGAGAAGATACAAGCATTCAACTCCACCATGCAGGGAAGTAGTAACTCTGGTCGGCCACCAGTGGTCCCCGATGATAAACTGTGGGACACAGAGGCGGCCTGGGATAGAGAGTTTAGTCTCTATCCAGATGCAAGCAGGAGTGACATTATCTCTCGCTTGTATAACCAGGTATGGGACCTGCTCCAGAAGATGAAGGAGCGTGTAACCCAGCAAACCTGGAAAAGAGAAGATCAAGATATTGTAGAAGGTTTGATCAACATACTGATCTTATTTGTACGCAATAATATCATCTCTAATGATATCAAAATAGAACAACCTAGGAAACCTTAACATTACCAAGGGATCTAAGGCTTATGTTCAGCTATTATTATTATGTATCTGATTTATGTATGCATTTATAAATGTAAGATTAAATGTATCAATAAATATACGTATACATATGAATGACTTTATTACTAGGGTGTTATTTATGTACGTGCATTTAAACATATAAGGCTATCTCGATATATGGAGATAGCTGAAGTATTGTAATGCCAGGTTACAAATATATATGACAGCGCATGAGGAGTTAGGCCCGCGGAATAGGACTAACCCGATCTGCAATGTCAACAGGTTACACAAATGATAGATATAAACAGGTTTAAGTACTTGTATAAATCTCATTAAGTGTAGATTTTATATACCAGTTTATTGCACGTTTTTGTGGTTCCCAGATACCACAAGCTGTTATAAATAAACTTTATAAAATGAATTAGGTGAATAAAAAACATCATTTGATTTATAGTTATAACGGAAAATCATCGTTTGTAAAGTGAAAGGCATAGAGTCTATGTGAAATGATCATTGGTCAATTATGAAACCAGCCTATTTCATAATTTAGTTTTCTTTTAATATTAATTTTAGACTTTCTATAAAATGATGTTCCAGGGCCCAAAAGGTTATATAGCATAAATATGTGAAGTACACCTGTAGTATGGAAACAGTACAACAAAATGGCCGTTTTACATATTTTTCTAGTAAATTCCACTCTAATATATATTCTATTCTCTTTGGCTCGAAATAATGGGATAGATAAACTGGACAGGGAAATTAAGACAAAATATTGCAAGTTTGCAATAATATTTGAGTCTAGAAGGGATACCATATTTATCCTTTAACGCGAACACAAATGTTTATAATTATATTAATATATATATATATTAATATATTTCAGGATCTTAATATAAATATATTTTTAAAGGTGGAAGCTGTAGATGTAACTGGACTAATGATAGAAATGTTGGTCGCTGAGCTCGCTAAATTCTCAAATATGAAGGTAATTCACATAGATTGCACATAAGACGACATTTCCCATCTTGAAAGATATAAATGTACAGAGATGTTTTAAAGATATTTCTATTGTATAGATTACCTAGGTTGGTTGTGAACATTGGCTGTTCTTATGTCATTGAGTACTTGTGGTGTACATGAGTTCTGTAGAGAGAAATTTAAGTTAGTTTAGTCCTTCTCATGTCTTTCTTCAGTTCTAGTCAATATGATATATTGCTCAGTTAAATAATGTTGTTCAAATAGCTCCATTCCCGGAGTTATTTTACACTCTATTATGAAATCCATTAAAACAGCAAACCACCCCGCTTATCATTGAAGTACACTTTGACACCTGGAACTATGAGTTCCAGGGAATAGGAATAAAGGGAAAGGAAATGACGCTGGTCTGGCATGAGAAAGCCAGTCGCACTGCTTTGCAGACCAAACCTTTAAATTAACACACACTCTTTTGGGACAGACACACAACATGACTACAGTAAAGGAAATTGTAGAACAATGTCGTCAATTATAATTAAACTTGAATAACGAGTAGTTTATTGTAAACTTTAATCAAATAATATTCTTTGCATGAAAATTTGGCTTTATAGTGTTGACTTAAATATGTAAATAATATATTACATGTATATTAAACTTATTTTTAAGTAAACAATTAACAATGAAGAAATGTACTCTCCTAGACTGTACAAATACCGAGATTCTTACGTACTGTAAAAACTTACGGTAAACACCTTCGGTACTTTAAACTGACACACACTCTTTTGGTACAGACACACCCCCATGACGTTTCCGCCCCCTGATGAGTTCGCGGACTGGACAATTTTTGGTAATTTTGCGAACATAAGCTATCCATGTTTATTTATTTATCTATGGTAATTCACCACTTTTTAAATTTGATCAATTGTTTTGTCCGAACTGAAAACTTTAGAATGGAATATCCTTAATCCCGATAGGTTAATTAATCTGGAGATAAATGACATGAGGAGAACAAGCATTATTTAATCTCGAGATTAAGAAAAAGAATGGATCAAGCGTTAATCCCGATATCCACCATTCAAAAGTTCTCAGCTCCGATCACATTATTTATTAATTATTACGATGGAAATTTTTGAAAATGGTCAGAACTTTTTTCTTTTAAGCAACAAGCAAGGCATTAGTTAGGCTTCATGAAAACTGATTACTCACATCAATATGTTTTCTTATCCTTATATCTTTTCAACCTGATACCCATATATTTCATTGAGATTTGAAACAATATGGATTTTGTTAAATCAAATGGTCTGAAAGTCTGAAAAATGAATTGTTTACACCATTAGGTTGCTAAATTTGGGAATAAGAAAATAGAGCTGAAAACCATAAAATTGGATACTGTAAATACCGATCAATTAATCTAAATTAAATATACACTCTGGACACTTTTGATTTCTGCTTTTTTTCCCTTCTGTTTGGATATCCCTACTGGATATCAGTTCGTTTATTAATTGGCGCACAAAGTTTTAAAGGATTTGAGTCTTTGCCACGAATTTAATATTCTATAATATCTTTGCAACCTGATGGTTTAAACCTTTGATATTTTATAGTTAGACTATTTGATCTAACAGAATTTATAGTTGGAAATAACTAAGGTCTACGAGATTGGGTTGCAAAGATATAGATATTTTAAAATCAGAGTTTGTCTCAAAGACTCAGTTCCTTTCTAGGATTCTGATTGGCTGTTTAGGATTCTGCATACGCAACTCTGATTGGTTGAATTTTAGACAATTTCCAGGATACAAACTTAAGATCAAAATAATCTGAAGATGAACAAAAAGAGAAGATAATGCAATGATCTCGATATCGACAATTATAAAGTATTCCGCTCTGTTACTTTAAAATTCTTTTCAAATGCACCTGAATTCTTTTTATTAGGATAGGTTTATAGAAGAGTTCTGTGAGGATGATTATACTTATATCAAGCAGGTAAAATTAAACCGCTCTCAAACTCTTCACAAAACATCAAAGAAAAATGATTTTCAAAAATTCTGCACATTTAGTATTTTCTTTTCAGAAATTGGATATTGATGAATCATATGCTAAAAGTTTAGAATATAATTTCATATATCTTTTTCTAATTTTACATTTTCTGTATCTAACAAAACTATTCGAGTAGAAGATAGTATACTATGGTTTTGGGAAAACAAAAATAAAACTTTATTTTAAAGGATTTATTCACTTTCAAATCATGTTGGTTTTCAACAATGAATGAAAAGAAAATATATGCCTGATATACCATTTACAAGGGATGTTCAATAAGTTTTGCGATTTTTTTAAGGATCTTCTAGACGTCTAAGCCCTTTAAGTTTTCTTCTAAAGTTCACTATATTAATACCGGTTTAATTTTCTGACCAGCTAATGTCAATTAGAACATTTGTTGGACGCAGTTATAGCTTTTTCCCGGATCTTGTTAACGATGCTTGTCACAGCCTAAATATCTTATCTACAGACTTAAACTTTATCAATTTAAGCGTGTTCTAGAGGTTGGGTAACCTTAAAAACTTAAAGAAGGGTAAGCCTGTATTGTAGAAAGGGTCTTTGAATATTTTTATAGTTGTAATCTACATTTCACCAAACAAATTAGTATTTTTCCCTTGGACCTCTGCCAAGCAAATGTTTACAAATCTTTGCCCTTTTTCAAATCTTGCTTTACAACTTTGTTTGCAGCACCATAGCAGATTTCAAACTCATAAAAAAATCATCAACTAAGAATCCTTGCGAATTTGATTTGAGAAACTTTCAATAGTATCGACTGTTTGTTGGGTTTTTCTGGATTTTTTTCTGCTCAGACATTTCCTTGTTCTGTCGACACTCTTTATTTCACTTTTTCCCTTTTACTCCACCTGTAGGCTATTGCCTTGTCCATATTATTATCCTCTAATGCATTTTGAATCATGTCAAAGGTGTCTGCTTTATATTTGGAAAGTTTAGGCACGATTTTGTTATGTATCGAGCATCCCAAGTGTCCTCTTTCTCTTGTTGGTATTAAAAACATTCCCGTGCTGTGACAGCTGAGCTAAACAACCTCTGGGAAAAGGCGGATTAAATAGAAATAAAAAGTGTGATGAGTAAAGTCCATTGAAAATAAACAACCGGGATGGATACAGTGAGCTTTGAAAAAAATAATTACAGGGCTGAGACGTCTCGAAGTACCTGTACACCTCGTACATTTAACTAACATGCATGTTTTTAATGAGAGCTGAAAACTTTAGAATGGGATATCCTTAATCCTACTCGGTTAATTAATCTGGAGATTAATAACAAGAAGAGAACAAGCAATATTTAATCTGGAGCTTAAGATAAAGAGGAGATCAAGATTGATTTCGATATCCACCATTCTAAGTTTTTCAGCTCAGAACTCCTCTTATTGGAGAGTTATTACGAAAACAAAATTTATAATATGCAGAAACTGAATGATTTTGCTTCTCATACTTGTGCTTAACATTAAAACTAAAACAAAAGTCAAAAAGTCGGACCAGAAATGTCGCATACATTTGACCTTCTCCTTCCTTCTTTTTTGCATAGGGTCCATCATTTTCGATTTTAATAGAATGAAAAGAAACAAAACGGTTTGTTCCGTTAGTCCCTGGAATTTTCCGTTCATTTCCGAAAAATTACGTTTGGTCAATCCTGCACAGTGTACATGCTACCAGTTAATGGAGGTTCTTACACTTACACCGTTCGTTTATTAAATTCATGTATGAAATAAAAAATAAAATCATTCCCGAAATCATTTTTAATAGGGGTAGAATAGTTGTTTTGTCTTGATATATTTTTTGCATTTTTTGCCCGCAGACACAATCTTATCATAGAAGAGCTTTATAGCTTACTAATCCTGAAATTATTTTCTTCTAAAAAACTATGGAATCAAAACCACTTTAATGATTAAATATTCTTAGAAAAGATGATATTAAAAATCAAGTAGTAAGGACACACCAAATCAAATAAAACATAACACTCATGAAATTAAACCTAAAGAGTGATATGATAAGAATAATATTTAAGTACATTAACAAAAATTAATAAAAAGCACACACACAAAGAATTAAAACTTAATAAAATATATCTGAAGAAACTGACTTTTTGCCTCAAACCCTAGATTTTAATCCCTATATTTTTACATCTTTTTTTTTTTAACTTAGATCATATAAGAAATTCCTTTCCACAACTCTGATTTTTAAAATTCCTAATATCTATGCAACACAATGCCTTAAACCTATAGATATTTCAAACAATAAAAATCTTTTAGATCAAAAGTTTGAAATGTCAAAGGTTTACGCCAACAGGTTGTAAAAAAATATAGGGATTATAAAATTTGAGTTTGTGGCAAAGATTCAATTTCTTATTTTAGGGTTGGGAGGAGAAGGTTGAGAGGTGTAAGGAGGGAGATCAGGTATACTTTTCAAGTTTTTATGCAAACAGGTTTTTTAAGTTTTAACGGTAAAGGAAAACAATTTTAAAAATTAGGTTTAAAAAAATTTGTATATTACTTAAAAACCTGAAGAAAAGCTTTTCTGTCAAATAAAGATTTGAAAAAATCTATTTCTGAGTCGAAATTTAAAAAAAAGTTCTTTAATAATAAATTGAAACGCAGTGTATATTTTACAGATTTACTGACAAGGTTCAGATCCCCCCCCCCCATGATTAAATTGTAAAATTTGGTATATATTGTAAAATGATACAGGGTGTCCCAAAAAACGCTCTTAAGTTGTGTACAGACATCGCTTTTATTGAAGCGGTTTTTTGGGACACTCTGTACCTGGCAAGTGGTTGAGGTTGGACGTTGGATATTTTAAGATAGATTATGTCTAAATCTGGTTTTCAATCGAGCCTAACGAGAGACATAAATGAGAAATCAGATCTGAAAATAAATATTCTAAATGCTTATAAAACATAATCAAACATTACAGCTTATCTTAAATTCAGCTGACGTGAAAAATGGCACAAAAGAATTTGGTTTAATCAAGTCGGGAACCATGTAGAAATATTTTCTAATGGAACCTAATGCAGATATGTTTCTAGAATATATTTTGAAATAACTTGGTTAAACTTTTAACCTAAGAGTGAATTAAAGGGTTCCAGGTGTTATATCTGTATTTTGGGGAACATAGGATAGTAATTAAAAAATACACCAATAGATGTTTTTATTCATATAAAAAGGAATTGATTTTCTAATTCCTAAATCTTTGCAACCCTTTTTCGTGGACCTTAAATATTCCCAACTAAGAATAAATTCTGTTAGATCAAATTATCTAAGTTTAAAATATCCAAGGTCTACGATATTGTATTGGAAAGATAAAGAGATTAGAAAATTTGAGTTTGTGGCAAAGACTCAATTAAATTATCTTTTAATCGCCCTTTCTCTTAAGCTTTACTTAATTTTATTCTTATAATTTTTTCGTTTGTTTTAGGCCTGGGGACTGTTCACAGCTGTGAAGATGTAATCCATTAAACAGTTAAATGCAAGCTCGAGATTTTATATGTACAAAGTGCACTGCACATTACTGTACACCTAGATTCAATTCTAAACATGTGCCAGTGCAACTCTGTACACATTCATCTAGATTGAAATTTGTACCAATGTAATACTGTACATAAAACTATATCCAGATCTAACATAAACCTGTGCAAAACTGTACATGCATCTAAATCCAGATTTAAACATACACCAGGCAGTGCAGTACGACTATGCTCGAGAGTTAACATTTTATTGGATTGTGCAGTTTAACAATAAACATCTTTTTCAATGTGTACAGTCATTAAACTGATATAAATTGAAACACTGAAATGTTGTATCTTTAAAGGAACTGCAAACGTTTTTTTTCAAGTGACCCTCGATTCACAATGGTACCCTTTAAACATGAGCTGAGTAACAATGAGTTTTTCTTTCAAAAATTTTGTTAATCTCCTTAATAACATTTGAAACACACATTGGCATTAGAAAACTTTCATAGAGAACAAACACTGAAAATAATCAATTTTTAGAGAGAAAAACTTAACTAAAGGATACCACTGTGAATTGTACATAACGTACCACTCTATAAATGTTAATTGCCTTAAAATTAAGTCTTCAGTTTGTTTAAAGGGAGTGACCGGCTATGTAAGGTAGTTGAACTGAGTATGCAGTGTTGTGGAAACTTCTTTCAGATTCATTTGAGACATTTAAAACTTTTTAAAGATCTGTAAATCCTGAGTTTGAGCGCAAATTCGACGTTGAAAACTCCTTCTTTGGGGGTGAAAACGTTTTCGGAAATAGTTTTTTAAAATTATTGCCGCATTATTTTTGGGCTCGATCGGTTCAGCCGTTTCAACGTTTATTAAATACAAACACCAAAAGTAAATTATATAGAAAGATTGTGCTTCTGACTATTATCTTGAGAGGGTAGGGGGTGGGGGGTTGGTAGGACCTAGAATAAGATATATGGACAGTGCGCTACGGACGAGATCCAATATTAAAATTTGATATTTGTGTTTTCTGAACTCGAGATTTCAAACTGCGGAAAATGTCCAGTTAAACAGAAAGTTCGGAGAGAGACCTCGAAATTTTTTTATTTAAAAATGCGCAAATTCAAAAATACTAATCCGTGAAATACAATTTACAAAGAAAAATGGCAGCTTGAAGAGCAAACCTTAACAGCTAAAATTGTTACCATTAAATGAGCGCGATTTAGTCTATTTTATCATTTTAGTTTATATCTATGAAATAATCAAGAACGACAGGAAGATGTTTTATAATTCTAACTTTCATAAAATCCTAGGTTACGATGGATTAGGTCTGCCGGCTTTCTAAAAAAAACAATCCCTGGATTTATAAAACATCAAAAGAAAAAACGAATTGATGTTTCAGAATATGTTTTTAAATTAGTTTTTAACACTTTTTATTCAGAACTTAATAAAAAAGGGAAACATTAGGAAGGATTTCGATGGAACTGATCACTTACATTCAATGTACACTTTCGATATTTCAATATTTGACTGAAGTATCATGAAACATCTAAACCTATACTCTACTTGTAACTATGGAACACCTTTCAATTCAGCTATAACACATATAATTAAAGGTTAAAATATTAAAGGTCTGCACTATCATGGAGCAAAGACATATGAATTATGGTAGAAAAGCACTTTGGTTATAACTCAGTTTCTTACAGCCTAATAATATTTATAGGAATTATGTCTTTGTCGCAAAATCTGATTTTCTAACCTCTATATCTCTGCAACCCAATGTTGTAGACCTTAGATATTTCAAACTATGAAGTCTGTCAAATCAATAAGTCTAAGTTTAAAATATCAGAGGTTTACAACATCAGGTTAAAAAGATAAAGAGATCAGAAAATTTGAGTTAGTGGCAAAGACTCAATTCTTTTGTCTATACATAAAATGTTAAAATATTGCGGATGTATATGGGGTTTCCCTTTATTAAAAAAAATTTAAAAGCTTTAACACAGTAAAGGCTGGGGGGTCAGTATCTATGTATAGCCTGGCGGCCCACGCCCCACCATAGAAAAAGGCCTTGAATAATAGGTATAGGGAGAAATGCATGTTTATAGCCCAATTATGCAAGGCCAGCTCATTAAAAAATATTAGACCGATAACTTTAAAAGTTTGGGTGCCAGGGAGGGTTGAAAAAAATGCCAAAATGGTCAAAAAATGTAAAAAATATTTAGCTTTAATCGCAAACAAGTTATAAGCTATTTTAGATTTTTTTTTTACACGGACCGAACTTTTTTCCACCTTGTACCCTGCTCTATGCATTAAAAAATAAAATTTTCACAAAAATACTTTAAATTTCTTTACGTTAAAGTCAAAAGATTTCACGGTGAACGTGTCAAAAATGAGAGCAAAAAAAACCAGAGGGGGGGCGTTACCCCCCCCCCTGTCTGTTTAGGGTTAATTTATCTAGCTGCCACTTAAAACAGTTTTTATGCATTTAATTCTTCTGTTAAAACCATGAATATGTATATTTTAATATTCTTTTTTAAAATTTTTTTCCGAATTTTATTTTTCATTTTATTTTATTTTTATTCTAGTTAACACACAATGAATTATCTTGTTTGGAACGAGATGTTTGAAAATTGAAGATATTGTGTGAATTCATTCTTTATTCAGACTGAATTGACAGCTAATATCGGAGAGTGTATCTTTACACTTCTCTATCTAACAATTCCAGAGACAGAAATTTAAAAGAGTATCGTTGAATGAAACTCCCAAGTTTCTTTTTTGTTTTTTTTTTACATTTGCGTAGATTTACATCTAGAAATAAAAGATAAAGAAAGAAAATAAAACTAACCATTTAAAATATATTGAAATCTACAAAACTGACATTCTCCCTTCGTGAAACCCGGTTTCTGACTCTGAGTTTCAATACAAAATCCTGTCTTAAGTTTTGGGCTCAGGGAGATGCGGAAACAAATGTATAGAAAGGGAACTATGGGCGTTTACAGGAATTTGTCCAGGAGGTTGGGAGCTCCCGCTTGGGCCTGAAATTCCCCTGGAAACAGATTTCATCAAATTTTTAGACAGCCTCGACTTTAAAGTGACACAACGCCTTGGTTTTACTTTACCAACTTACTTTTACTTTTCTGTAGCTCTATGCATAAACATTTTAAAAGTACAACACGCTAGTTTTTTAGCTTAAGTTTAAAAAGATCACCATATGATATCCCTGAAGGGTACGTTCACCATATGATATCCCTGCAGTGTACGATCACCATATGATATCCCTGCAGGGTACGATCACCATATGATATCCCTGCAGGGTACGTTCACCATATGATATCCCTGCAGGGTACGTTCACCATATGATATCCCTGCAGTGTAAGATCACCATATGATATCCCTGCAGGGTACGATCACCATATGATATCCCTGCAGTGTACGATCACCATATGATATCCAAGAAGAAATAAATTAATCTTTACGTCTGCACAACGTGAAGATGTGTTATGATCTCTGCATCTTTGACAACTAATGGTGTAAACCTGTGACATATCAAAGGTCTACCACCACTAGTTAGTAAATATCTAATGATTGGAAAATTAAAGTTTGAAGCGAGTAATCAGTTTTTTTATCTGATAAGAACATTGATAATAGAAGATTAGAAATACCCGAAAATTCACAAAACATTTCTTTATAGAAATATGATCAAAGTTTGATTCTTAAAGATAAATATAAATCATCTATGGAAACTGAAAGGATAGTTTATGTAAAATTTATTTAAATTTTATGTCTTATATTAAGTTTTAAAGAATCCGATTTGTTAATATTGCTTTACACTACAGCAATGGAGATTAACACTCAACACAAAGTCTAGTTTTATAATCCTTATATCTTATATTATACACCTTCACTTTGACCATTTGACAGAATTGACAGAGTTAGAAATATGAAAGGTCTACTAAATCCGGTGTAAAATATACATATAGATTAGTGGCAAGCGTTTATTTCCTTCAACAAATAATCATTCCTTTATAAAAAGCTGGTTTTTTGATATGCAACAATTTTCATTTAATCATTTAATAAGAATAATTTGGTATTTTTTACAAAGGAATGTCATTTACTCTCAGACAAATTATAAATAATGGAAATTCAATGATAAACCCGAGGGCGCAGCCCAAGGGTTTATCATTGAATCCCGAATGTCTGACAGTAAGTGTTTGATCTTTTTCAACAAGGAGCTGATTAAATTTAGGAATACAGTCAATTGATCTGTCAATCTGAAGTCAACACTTTTGAACATCTCGGTCTATCTTCTGGAGATCTCTGGATGAATTTAATTCCTTTACAGTATCCCGTGATATTTATGTCCTCCAGGAATAACTAGAACTGAAAGATCAAGCATCGATCCTCAACCTTAAAATTATCCACCTTCAGCAATGCATCTGTGACCCGTTTTCTGAATAAACTTTGATACATATGAGGATTGAGAATTAACGAAGATTAGAATCAATGAGGATTAACAGAATGAGGATTAACAGAATGAGGATTAACAGAATGAGGATTAACAGAATGAGGATGAACAGAATGAGGATTAACAGAATGAGGATTAAGATTAACGAGGACTAGCCCTATATTTCTCTAAAAGGTTAGAGGTATTTTTTTCTGATTTGATCTTTTTCTCAATTGAACTATTTAAGTTTAAAAGGAACAGAGTTTTTAATTCAAACTCTGATTTTATAATCCCTAGATCTTTGCAACCTAATGTCCTCAACCTTTGATATTTCTAACTTTGAATTCTATTGGATCAAATAATTTAAGTATGCAATATCAAAGGTTCACGCTATCCGATTGCAAAGATATAGAATTAGAAAATTTGAATTTGTGGCCAAAACTCAATTCTTTTGTCCTTCAATTCAGATTTCAATATTTTATCGGAGGGAAGGCTCTTGTTGAGACTGAACTTAAATCAGGTTTAACCCACTTGAACAGATTGTATTCGTAAACTGTTTAAAGAAATTCTAGTATTGGGTTCGATCTACAGAAATAGTAGAAATATGACAGGTCAGTAATCATAGGTTAGATGTATCATGTATATAATTTATACTGCATAAAAAGCTTAAAGAAATTATAAAAATTGTAATCATTTATTTATATTTTTATAATTCAACAGTGAACATATCACATATCACAATAAGAAATTAATTGATTTAAATAGTTTTAAAAACAAACACGTTGTGCAGAGAGGGAGGGAGGGGGGATGTATTGCAGTATTGTATTATTCATTGTTTTGATGCTTTGTAAAAATAAGTCTTGCCACAAATTCAAATTTTCCAAATCTTTGCAACATTCTAATGTCAACCTTTGATCCTTCAAACTTTGATTATTTGATCTAACAGAATGCATACTTTGAAATACCAAAGTCTAAAACAAAGATGGAGGAATTAGAAAATCAGAGTTTGTTGCAAAAACTCAATTCTTGAATTACAAAAAAATTAAAGTTTGATCTTGCATCAATATTCGTTTAAAACTTGTATTATCTGCAAATACTCGAAATTGGATTTTTTTTAGGTTTGAGGTGTTTTTGGTGTTGCAGATTGACCGATGTAAAATTGCAAAGTAAATTATGTGGAAAATTATCCTGCGTGGAAAATTATCCTGCAAACCTTTAAACACATATACTGTCTACTTCTTATCAGAAACAAAACACAACTTTAAAAATGAAAGAGGGTATTAGCTAAACCGGAATTCAAATCCTAAATAGAATGAAATCAATCTTTATTTGCGTTTTTTATTTTGGCAATGCGAAAATTGTGAAAAAAGTGAGAAAAAAAAACGATTAAAACTATACGAGTTCGAATTTAGTTCATATTTATAGCCTAAACCTCTTTTGTAAACATACTTATATTGTTTCAAATTATTTCAGTTTTGAATTTTAAATTAAAAAAAATAGAAATACTCGTACATCTACGAATGAATAAAAGATATAAGTTTTGTTAACACATTATTAAAATTAAATCATTCGTTTTCAGAAATTCATACTCCATGCTGGTTGCTGTTGAAATTCATAAGAAATATATATATAATATATATTTTTATATATTCTTTTAGTATATTTAGAGAATAAGATAGAAAAATAGAATAGATAGAAGTTCAGAAGATTTTCGCATTCCACTGTTCAAGATGGCTTTAGGTTTCGGGACTTCTCCTGGATAGAAAAAATAGTTATGATTATTATTATTATTATTATTAAAATTAATAATATTTCTTACTGATGTAAATCGTTTCAAATAACAATAATAATAATCTATAAGAATGACAATGCTATTTCATAATACATAATGATAATAATAATTTATCAATACTCAGTTAATAATAATTATTTTGTTTAGGAACTGACACCTTTTTTTAAAACAATGTTTGACAAAAAAGAAATGTCCAAACGTTTTAAATTTCATAAATTAAAAAAATTAATTTACTCTCAGACAAATTAGAATCAAAGGAAATTAAAACACCCGAGTGATTCAATGATAAACCCGAGGGTTTATCATTGAATAACAAAATGTACTAAAAAATATATCAATAGGGTTTTTAAGAGAAAACCCCTGGACGGATAAATTTACTAATGTTTACTAGAATGGGATCAAACTCTGACAGTAATATTTATGGAGAAAAGAATTGTAAAACCATTGAAAACCTGGCGGGATTCAATAAAAAAACATTCTTATTTAAAACATTAGAAAAATTATTAGATTAGCGGAATTCAATAAAAATTGGTGCATAACAAAAAACAGCTTTTTATAAAGGAATGCACAGTTACTTCTAAAATGTACTTTTCAAATTATCAAATGATGAATATTATTTGAGACTTTTAAATATCTTCAAATAACATGAATAAACTTTGCAAGTGTTAAATTATTACTTTTGATGTCTATCATTGTGTTGAAATGTGTAAAACATTTATAGGGGGGGGGGGGGGATCTGTCGCAGGGGGAATGAACTGATGCATCGATATTTTAGTTGTCCGTTGTTAAGGAAAAGATAACCTTACCTAGTCCTAATTCTCCCTCTACTATGTACAGCCCTATGGTTGTACGTCTGTAGTTTTCTACGGTACAAGAGTAATTGCCAGTATCTTCTTTCGTCGCCTGAAAAAAATCAAATAATTCAAATCTGGTCTTTTGATGGACATTTTGAATTAATGAAAAAAAGTAAAAAAGAGCTAACCTGGGTGATTGCTAATCTACTCACAATATTTGCCCCCTCAACTTCGGTCAGTATTCTAGGATTAAAATAATCAAACGTTTTTACTTGATTCAACTAAAAAATTTGAAATATTCATAAGAAAACGAACGGAAACCAGAAGAACTTTGTTAAAATTATAAAAAGTGAAACTATTTAAAAGAACAACTTTATAAAGTGAAACTATTTAAAAGAACAACTTTATAAAGTGAAACTATTTAAAAGAAAACATTTTAAAGTAAAACTATATATATAAAGGAAAACTACATAAAAGAAAACTTTATAAAGGAAAACTAAATAATGTAAAACTATGTAAAAGAAAACGGTAGAAAGGAAAACTATATAAAGGAAACCTAGATAAAGGAAAACTGTATAAAGGAAAACTGTATAAAAGAAAACTTCATGAAGGAAAACTTGATAATTGAAAACTATATAAGAGATAACTATATAAATAAAAACTATATAAAGGAAAACTATATAAAGGAAAACTATATAAAGGAAAACTATATAAAGGAAAACTATATAAAGGAAAACTATATAAAGGAAAACTAGATAAAGGAAAACTGTATAAAAGAAAACTGTATAAAGGAAAACTATATAAAGGAAAACTATATAAAGGAAAGCTAGATAAAGGAAAACTGTATAAAAGAAAACTGTATAAAGGTAAACTATATAAAGGAAAACTATATAAAGGAAAACTAAATAAATGAATTAAATCTCATGTTCTGGAAACTCGACATATTTCATTACATGGATCAAAGTTTACAAGACTTCCAGGAATCCATCAACTAGCGGTAGAATACACTATAGTTGGATACAGTGTAGCTTGGTTAGGATACAGTATGGCTGGATACAGTAAAGCTTGGTTAAGATATAGTATAGCTGGATACAGTAAAGCTGGTTTAGGATACATTACAGCTTGGTTAGAAAACAATAATACTAGATTATGATACATTACAGCTCGTTTAGAATACACTGCAGCTGGCTGAAAAAAAAGCTGGTTTGGTTAAGATATAATACAGCTGGTTTAGGATACAGTACAGTTTAGTAAGGATACACTAAATATTAGTCAGGATACATTACAGCTTGGTTAGAATACATGTATTGCTTTGTTAAGAAACATTACAACTGGTTTATGATACAGTACAGCGTATCAGGATACAGTACTATAGTAACACATGTATTACAGTTCACCTCTTTCTAAACTGTTTAGGGTTGGATCTAATCCTCTCTTCATTCTTTTCCCAGATCACGAACTCAGTTAGGTTCAGAAACCTCCAGTCAGAAGGCAGGTTCGACATTTGAATCTAGGATAGGTTTAATATTTGTATCTGGGATAGGTTTAATATCTTATCTAGGACAAGTTTACTTGGAGGTTGACCGCTAGACAGTAATGTTTACCTGAAAGGATGACCTCTACACTGTAATATTTACCTGGAGGATGACCTCTAGACTGTAATGTTTACCTGGAGGACGACCTCTAAACTGTGATTTTTACCTGTAGGACGATCTCTAGGCTGTAATGTTTACCTGGAGGATGACCGCTAGACTGTAATATTTACCTGGAGGATGACCTCTAGACTGTAATATTTACCTGGAGGATGACCTCTAGGCTGTAATGTTGACCTGGAGGACGATCTCTAAGCTGTAATGTTTACCTGAATGACGATCTCTAGGCTGTAATGTTTACCTGGATCCGACCTCTACATAGTAATGTTTACCTGGAGGACGACCTCTAGACTGTTGTTTCCCTGGAGGATGACCTCTAAACTGTTATGTTTTCCTGGAGGACGACCTCTAGACTGTTATGTTTACCTGGAGGACGACCTCTAGACTGTTATGTTTACCTGGAGGACGACCTCTAAACTGTTATGTTTATCTGGAGAACGACCTGTAATAGATTGTAATGTTCATCTGGAGGACGGCCTCTACAATGTAATGTTTACCTAAAGGACGACCTCTAAACTCTAATATTTACGTAGAGGACGACCTTTAAAATGTTATATTTACCTGGAGGACGACCTCTAGAAAGTAATATTTACCTAGGGAACGACCTCTAGACTCTAATGTTTACCTAGAGGACGACCTCTGGGCTGTGATGTTTACCTGGCAGACAACTTCTAAGCTTGATCCAACTTTATAGAAATGAGATCTATCGACTCTACCGAACCCATCCAGGAGAGTAACTGTTGGAACTAAATATAGTTTTATTAGTATTGTCAATTTTGTAACACGATTTTCTTTTTCTGAAAATTTCTTTTTTGATAAATCTTGCGAATAGAATTGGTGTTATGCTCTCTCTTCTGAAACCCTCAATATATTCGGTCAGACGCACCGAAAGCTTAGTTCAGGGGGAATGCTTTAAAAAAGGATGTTTTTTAGTGAAAGTTTCATGGTGACTTTAATTGTCTTTGAGACAGTATTAATTTAGATTTACTTTTAAAAGTACTTTTGTAACTATTTGGCAATATTTTGGTATCAATATTTAGTAATAATCCGTAATACAAATTAGAAAACAATTTAGTAACAAAGCTAGAATTTGGTAATATTCTGCTTAACTATTTACTAATGATTTTCTAGCAAAATAGTACAGTGAAAACCAGAAAACTGTAGAATAGAAAGACGACGTTAAGGCAAAACTAAAGTGCATTTGATGTTGTCACAAAGTTAAAAGCTTTACTACATAGTAAGTTTTAAATCACAAATTAAGTAAAATGGGTCTGTTTAGACTGCACATTTGTTGTGTCTTATGTACATTGACCCATAACTTGAGCTTAAAAGTCGACTTCCTATTCCAAAGTTTTCTGGCTATCACTGTATCAAATTTGTTTCAGTTTGGGCATAATTTAGACAAATTCAGTATTAAAATGTAAATGCAGAGGCCATTTAGTTTTAATAAGTTTATTTTCCGTGAACATATTGGATAAATGATGAAGGTGCGGTTGTCATAAATACACAATACACAATAATACACAATACAAGCCAAATCAATCCCAACACAGCTTAGAAAAGAAAACTGTTTGTCATTTATTTCATGCGTCACACAGAACCTTGGGTTCGGGTCCAATTCTACCTGACGCAATTTTACCACAAACTCTAATTTTCGAATCCCTATATCTTCGCAACTCAAAGTCGTAGACCATGGATATTTCAAAGTAAGAATTCTGTTAGATCAATTAATCTAAGTTTGAAATATTAAAGGTTTACATTATCAGGTTGCGAGAACAGTTGTTAAATATTCGAAGAACAGTTCAATCTCTCTTTCTTCATTCTACTCTTAGGTTTTCAAGTGATTTCTTTTTTTCCTTTCTTGGAATTAATCTACACTTTCAACACTCTAATGAATAAATTAATTTAGTAGGAAAATGCTGGAGATATACGCTTGCAATGAAATATAAACAATTCCCATAATCCATATATAAACTTTTATTTATTCAAAAAGTAAAAATGAAAGTTATTAAATTTCTTAAAACGATTGTCTTGTTTTTTATTGTGGCCGAAAAAATGCACTTTTTCCTTTTGTAAAGGTAACTAAAAAGGCCAATAGAAAATTATTTTTATTAAAGGAACTGTACCGACGTAATTTCTTGATAATGAATGCCCTTCTTATCCTTATAATTGGGCTGTCGAGAATATAATTCCTTATCTAACTGCGTATCTCGTATGCGAGACAAGAGGGCTCGGATAGGGAACTGAATACTAACCTCACACTCAAAAATTCTTATCTTAATATCTTTGCAACCTGATGATTTAAACCTGTGGTATTTGCTCCAAGCATTGATCTTCTCTGCTTTGTTCATTATAACTATAATGTCCCTTTACTTTTGTTCTTGTTTTTCTAGTTTAAAGTTTTCTTATCTGTGTAAAATTTTGTTTGCACCAGGGCTAAATTTATAATGCTCTCAGACCTTTCAGTTGCTTAAATAGATTTCTAAAATTTTTTTATTTTTCACAACTTTTATTTTGAGTGAAGTTTGTGGTTTCAAATTAGTGACAATCCCTTAAACTACAGTGAGACCCATAAAGCAGTGGAATAGGAAGGCGAAATTTAAGCAATCTTCTGCGTATTTGATGTTGTTAAAATCAAATAGTTTAACAGATAGATTGGATCTGTTTATGAGTGTTTTTAAAACAATTAAAGGGAGAGACCGGCTTGACGAGCGGGGGAATGCAGGGCGGCCATGAGCCATCACTATTTCCCCTTCCGTGCCACATATTAGCTTTTTTCTCTTCCGGCAGCCATGAGCCACCGCTATTTCCCCTTCCGAACCACCACATTTGACTCTTCCACAAATTTGACTGAGTATTGCATCTTGAAATATCACAAAGTTGGTTAATGAGTAATTTTAACATGGATTTAGTATGATGAGTCAGTCATTGAATAATCATTAGACTTTGTGATATTTCAAGATGCAATACTCAGTCAAATTTGTCAAAAATTTCATTGTAAAACAGTTTAAGAATTCAACACACAAAATATTAATCTTAAGTAGAATTGAAAAAATGGTTTGAGTTGTGTTTTTTTGCGTGACGTTGCTGGATTGTTTAAAATCACACTTTAAAGGCCCTAAATATACCATTTAAAAAGTAGTTTTGCCCGGAAGAGTCAAATGTGGTGGTACGGAAGGGGAAATGGTGGTGGCTCATGGCTGCAGGAAGAGAAAAAAGCTAATATGTGGCACGGAAGGGGAAATAGTGATGGCTCATGGCCGCCTGCCTTCCCCCGCTCGCTTGACATGGTAGATGAGCTGAAAGTGCAGTATTGTAGAGAACAATTTTACGATTTATTTGTTACAATTGAGACCTTTTTACGGTGTACAATTATTTAAATAAGAGTGCGCAGTCGTTTGTTTCAGTTAGCAGAAAAAAACGCTTCTTATAATTATTTTAAAGACTAATTTTGTATTTAGGAACATATTTCTTTAAACAAATTATCGATAGAAGAACACTAGAATCGATTATTTAATTATCATCATTACCTTTGCTGTTTCTATAATTTTATTCGCAGATTTCTTTAAAATGTTGTCTTCACAATAAAGATATCCACCAAGAAACGACCCTGACTGAAAGAATTTACATAAGCCTGCGAGATTTTAAAATGAATTTGAATAACTTATTTACGATTGTATTAGTTCATTTTTCACAACCTGTTTTTACACTGCAAGCAACTAGTTTGTAGAATAGTATTTGAAATTGAAACATGTTTTGTCCATGTTATTTAAGAATTGTAAAAAAAAACTTTGTTCTGCTGACTGTAACAATAGGAGAAATATTACCGACTTTACGCTTTTATTTAAAAATTGTACACCGTAAAAATGTCTCATACATGAATCCTAAAGTTTTTCTATTCAATACTGCACTTTCAGCTCAACTACCATGTCTAACCGGTCTCTCCCTTTAGGTCTGACAGCTTTATTCCTATTACACTTAAATCTCTCTTTCACTACGAGACACTTTTACGATGGATAGATACATTACGTACAGTTCAATAAAGTATCCTTTTCAGAACCTTTTCATACTAGAATCAAAACCATCCCCCCCCCCCCCGCCACCCTCCATTCTTTAACACCAAACGAATGTTAAAAGAACTGTAAAGAAGTCGATATAGATTTAAATATGTCGATTTTACTTTTCTTGCAAAACTATGCAGAATACAACTCCATACTATACACAATACTGAAAGGAAAGATTAAAGGGACCTTCGGACGTTATTCAAGCGAAATTTTTAAAAAAAGTGAAATAAGATAAATTCTGTCAATTTTCTTACTTGTCTCTGTTTCATGCATATCTACAAGTCAATCTATCACTATAGTTTCGTAAAAGTAAATATTTCCATTTACTGATAGTGCTGATTGAAGGGTTCATTGTCTCTAATTGGATAATAAGATAGATAGAAAGATAGATGTTACCGCCATAATATTTCTATTGGTCCAGAATAGACAACAAACACATGTCTGGGCCCTGATTGGTTCAGGTGCTAATGGACTCGGCATACAAGAGTGCTATTGTAGAAATCATACATTTAAATCGTAATATCATCTATGTACCAATGCAGTTTTGATTTAAATAGATATATAAAATTCTTGTAAAAAGAACTGCAAGTTCTTGCCACTAATGTTCTGATTCCTATATCTTTGCAACCTGATGGTGTAGACCTTTTTTTCAAACTTAGAGTTTTTGATCTAACAGATTATTAGTTTGAAATATCCAAGTTTTCCGAAATTGGGTTGCAAAGATATAGGGATTAGAAAATTAGGGTTTCTGACAAAGAATCAAATTCTTTCATTATTTTTTACAAATTTTTTTTCTTCTGGATATTTTCTTAGACTTACAATTTTTCATAAAACCTTCAGATTGTAAAATTTGTTGAAATTCTATTTTTTCCCTTCAAACTTTCAAAAATGAAATTTGTTTCAATACTATCATGAATTTTAATCAAGTATTTAATAAAGTGTATGCTGAGAACTGTATTTATTAGTCCAAAGTGCATAAATTGACCAGATTCAGAGTAAAAACCTTGAATAAATTTAAACAAGATTTTATCGAAATAGAACAAGTTTAAAATATTGAAAATATAAATTGAATTGAATTTTTTAAAATCTTGGTTTAAACAAATAATGAAAATTGTTTTTATTGAATCCATTAAGTTATGTTTCAAAGTATTGAATATATTAATCCACATGTTGTATTTAAGATATTGCCACCTTTTTGCCATGCATTGTATATATTTGATATAAAATGTCATAAATATTGTGAACAATTACTTTTACAACTGTTGAAAGGGATTGTTAGCCTTATTTCAAGTGACCCCTCTATTCAGAGATGGCAGAACCGATTCACAACCTTTGGAAGCTTCGTCTGATCAAGTTTGAATCAGATATCAATTATTTATAATAATTTTGAACATTTATTATTGTCAACTGTTGTTTCTCTACAAAAATGACTTGCGCATTTCTGCAAGAGGATCACGTATAGGATTGATCTAAAATAAAATCTTTTAAAACTAGAAAAACGAGAATATCTCCCACATTATTGATCAGATTAAGGTTTCAAGAGTACCGTTGTGAATTGGGTATTGCTGAACCGATCGGGCCCAAATTTTTTGTGGGACATCACGTGACCACAAAAAAGGTTTATGAATGATAAAAACTAAAAAAAATGTGTTTTAAAGGTTTTTAATTTTGTAAAAAAGTTTAAATTCTTGAAAATCCACGAATTTTTTTTTAAATCCGCAAAATTTTTTTCTTCTTTGTTTTAAAATGTAAACAAAAAGAACATGTTCACAATTTAAATAGTTAAATAAATACTGTTTGATCAAATGGTCAAAATTTAAAACATCAAAGGTGGCAAAGATATAAGAAATAGACTGTTTAATTCCTTTATCCCAATTATTTATATTTTCTTAAATCTCAATTAGATATGTGTCACAGTAAACAGCAACAGTTCATTCAAGTACCGGGCCGGCTTTTAAGATGCTAGAGCAAGCTTCACAGTACACATACAGACAAAACGGGGCAGTACGTCAAAATAATCATCCCATTCTAGTGATATTTATGTGGCGTGTACGCGGAGTTGGGGGGGGGGTAGGTATCAAAGCTATAGCCCCATCCAAATTTCAGCGCAATATCTTATGCTTTCCGAACCCATACGGACATAACACAGCAAATATATTTTATGTTAAAGAGTACCTGTGGCAGTAATTTTAAGGAACCTTCTATATATAGAGTGCTACTTGCGATTCACAACAGTACCCTATCAACCTTTATCCAATCATCGATGCCAGATATGTTCTCTCTTTCAAGCTGAAAATTTATCGCCAGGATACTCTGAAAGAGTTTACAGTTACAGATTCCTGACACTCAATTCTTAGCTAGGAAATTAGGAATATCTCCATCATTATTTGTCAGACAAATTGGTTTAACTGGTCCTCTTGTGAATCGGCAGGGTCTGTAGTCCCTTTGATGAATGAACTGTTTACCTTGAACCCTGATGTTGAATGAGATGATATTGTTAAAATCTGAGTTGATATGACAGGAATATGTTCCTTCATCAGATTCATTTAATCCCTCCAGGCTCAGTACACTCTCATGTCTTGTCGTCACAACACTGATTCTGTCGTCCGAGACGAATACCTAAATAAATCAGGATTAACACTCGTCCAGGAGGAAACTAATTGGTCGTCTTCATTCTCTTTCTTTCTTCACAATAGCAAATACAGTGTGGTCCAAATAAAACGAGAATAAAAAATTATTGTGATACATTGAAAAATTGCTATAAGGTCATGACTTTAGTATTAAAGTCGTCTTCCTATTCCAGAGTTGTCTGGTTCTCACTGTAGTAAATATGCTTTCCTTAACGAACTACGAACGACTCGCTATTCTATAAATAATGTTTCACTTTAATAGTGCAGGTTCGTTGAAGTGAGGCACATGATTCACATGATGCTTGTTAATTATTATATTCATTTTCGTCTAAAGATTGTCATGTTTTTAAGGGGTGAATCTAAATACTGGAATTTAAAAGGGTTGAACCAACTCAGAATATTTTCTCCACTTTCCGTAGCTCCATCCCATGCTTTAGAGGAAGCAAATTTCCAGGGTTGAGCCCCTGAATGCAAACGGTGAAAACTATAAGTTGTGTACATGAAACACTCCGTGGTTTTCTTTACTGTCTTTTGCCTCCTTTTTCGCCATTTCCGGCCGATTGATATGATAAAGATAAGATCCTTAAACAATTTGATAGTTTCAGCTTATCATATGTATTTTGTGTGCATCAGGATCAATCGAGTTTAAAATAATATTGCAAAATATTACAAAATTATTTAATTATATGTCTGTTTATTTCATATAATGCGGTTTGTTGTTTCTGTAATTAAACTTTTTGACTTTCATTAATGAAATGAACTATATCTATTTATGTAAGTTTCTTATATTTATTTCAGGTAAAAAAAATCACGAATTTAGTATTTAAGGCTTGTGCACACCGGACTAACCAGAGTGAGCAGCATTCGGTTTCTTCTATGTATTTGAAATCAAACGTGTTTTGGTCTTTAATTCAATATGCATTTACTTTACGGATTTGCTATACATTTTCATTCAAAATGCATAAGCCAACAAAAAATTATTCAATAAAAAAGGCTAACAAATTATGTTTAATGGGTCAAATTGTTATCGAAAGTCACATTGACAGAACCGTTAAATCCATGTGTGTGGGGACTGCGCAGACCTAATTTAAAGATAATTTTTCTGACCGGGATGAATGATATATCCTTATTTTTCTAACTGAAGATTGTTTATTTTTTATTTGGTTTCGATAAAAAAGAGTAAAGGGTACCGTAAAGAATAGAAGAACATACCGCTCTTTAAGTGAAATTCAATTTCAAATTCAACAAAACAGTCCCTTTAAATGGAGAGTCTTTAGAAGTTATGCCATACAGTCCCTTTAAATGGAGGGTCTTTAGAAGTTATGCCATACAGTCCCTTTAAATGGAGGGTCTCTAGAAGTTATGCCATACAGTCCCTTTAAATGGAGAGTCTTTAGAAGTTATGCCGCACAGTCCCTTGAAATCAATTTAATTTGTTCTCTTCCTTTTTTTAACAATGAAATTTTGGTTTTATGGCTCGAGGCAAACCTTTAGCATTGTGCATCAACATTTTTATATTTTAATTAAAAACAAGATTTTAAAAGTTTTATCAAAGAGAAATAGTTTTTTGAATCAAATCTTTGAAGAAAATTTACAAGAAGGACATAGAAAACATTAGAATTATTTTATTAGTAAAAATATTAATCATTTAACGCGTGAGTTTGTTTTGTTTTGAACCATATATTACAAGAATAAGAAAACCACAACAATTCCTGGAAGCTTCTAATCCCCCCCCCCCATTATCCGGGGAGTAGATTTTACAGCATCTACTCCCCCGTTCTCCAGGGAGCTTTTACTCCCCTATTCTCCTTGGAGTAGATTTTACAACATCTACTCCCCCGTTCTCCAGTCAGCTTCTCACCCCATTCCCAGGGGAGTAGATTTTACAGCATCTAATCCCCCCGTTCTCCAGGGAGCTTCTCACCCCATTCCTCGGGGAGTAGATTTTACATCTTCTTCTCTCTTCTTTCTCCAGGGTGCTTCTAATTCTCCCTTTCTCCGGGGAATTGATTTTAAAAGTTTAATTCCCCGGATATATAAAGCATATCTATGGCCAATTTCTTAGAGGTTCTACCAAAGGTAGAACCATAGTCACACTATGGTAACGCTTTACCAGAGCAGTGTAGATAGATAGATACGACCTATAGCTGTACCTATGGCAACATGAATAAGAAATTGGCCACTAGTAACTCGCAACATATGTAGAAAACTATGAAATTGGTTGTCGTCTTCGTTCCTTTTGCTGATAAATGTTCGAGAACTACATAAATCCGTTAAATTAACAGGGTGTCCCACCAAATCAATCAATCAAATCAATCAAATTAGACCGCGTCAATGAGTCTAAATAACGATTTGGGGGACAAATCAGAAAATTTAAGAAGAATGAAACATTTTGAAAAATTTAATAAGGCTAATAGAAAAAAATATTCCGAAAAATGCTAGGTTTTGTGAGTGTTATGTGCGTATTATGGGGTTAAAGATTGGATATTTTCTAATATGATATGGAATGCTCTGTATATAAAGTGTAACTTATAGGAACTTGCAATATATGTAGAAAACTCGCAACCATGTAGAAATAGATAGTCGTCTTCCTTCTTTCATTTTGCTAAAAAATGTTCCAGAACTAAATTTCCGTAGTATTTGCGGGGTGTAAAAAAAAGAAGGGGGACAACAGACTGTGTGCAGTGCTTGTGTGTTTAGATATCGACCAATTATCCAACCTTGATGCAGTACTGTGTGTTTAGATATCGACCAATTAACCCCCTGGATGCAGTACTGTGTGTTTAGATATCGACCAATTATCCCCTTGGATGCAGTACAGTGTGTTTAGATATCGACCATTTATCCCCCTGGATGCAGTACTGTGTGTTTAGATATTGACCAATTATCCCCCCTGGATGCAGTACAGTGTGTTTAGATATCGACCAATTATTCCCCCTGGATGCAGTACAGTGTGTTTAGATATCGACCATTTATCCCCCTGGATGCAGTACAGTGTGTTTAGATATCGATCAATTATCCCCCTGGATGCAGTACAGCGTGTTTAGATATCGACCAATTATCCAACCTGGATGCAGTACAGTGTGTTTAGATATCGACCAATTATCCCCCTGGATGCAGTACAGTGTGTTTAGATATCGATCAATTATCCCCCTGGATGCAGTACAGTGTGTTTAGATATCGACCAATTATCCCCCCTGGATACAGTACAGTGTGTTTAGATATCGACCAATTATCCCCCCTGGATGCAGTACAGTGTGTTTAGATATCGACCCATTATCCCCCCTGGATGCAGTACAGTGTCTTTATATATCGACCAATAATCCCCCTGGATGCAGTACTGTGTGTTTAGATATCGACCAAGTATCCCCCCTGGATGCAGTACAGTGTGTTTATCATAAAAATAACCACAATTGCTTACTGTGGAGCGGATAAGGTGACCGATCTGTATTTTTACAAAAACTATGAATATTGATAAAATGAAACTCAAGAAACAAAAGAAAGGCTTCTTGTAATTGCAGATTTGGATATTATGAAAACAAATTTAAATACATATACTTACTTTTAGCTACAGTTTTATTTAAAGAAACAATACTTGATTCGATTTTTTTACGGTAAAAATTAATTGATCAGTTTGAAATTAATTGAATGAACTCTCTTCAAACTAGGGTTTCCAACGCGAGTGGATTTCACTTGCGCGCAATTCCGTAATAATTGTTAATTAGTAGCTAACCACAAGAAACTTAAACTTGTGTGCAATTCCGTAATAATTGCGTGTGCTATAGCACAAGAAACTTAAAAATTTGAAAACTGTTGAAACAAGTGAAACTCGGGCCTCGATCATTTAAAAATCTACAGAGATATTTCCATTCTTGTATCTGCTGCATAAATTTGTAAGTCGAACATTTAAAATTATTGATTTTTAGATGGAAATGCAATTCCGTTGCACGCAATTTAATTAAATGAAATGGCGCAAGCGGAAGCAACAATTGCGCGCAATTCTGCGCAACGGAATACCGATTGGAAACCTTACTTTAGACTCAGATTAGGTTCAACATATTTCTACAAAAAAAAAAACATTTTACTGAATTCTTTTCATGATATCTTCATCAAATGCGCTTTTCTTGTAGCCATTATTTATATTTTAATTTTTATGGTTTTGAACATGCTTTAAGTTGAATAATTTAAACTAGTTTAGCTTTAATTTAGTTAGAATGTCAAAGAGAAAAAACGTTTCACAGAAAATATTTAAATTAAAAATAGTTTTTATCAGGGAAAGTCAAACTGTTCACTGTTTATGTCTACTTACTATATTTTCTGTTCATGTTCACTGTTCATTTTTGCTGTTCATGTTCACTGTTCATATTCATTGTTCATGTTCATTGTTCATGTTCACTATTTTTGTTCTCTTTTTAAGTTCTGCATTTATGTTCTAAATCTAAGTTTTCTGTTTAAGTTCACTGTTTAAGTTCATTGTTTAAGTTCATTGTTTAAGTTCATTGTTTAAGTTCATTGTTTAAGTTCATTGTTTAAGTTCATTGTTGAAGTTTACTGTTTAAGTTCATTGATTAAGTTCATTGTTTAAGTTAATTTGTTAAGTTCACTATTCAAGTTGATTCTTGAAGTTCATTGTTTAAGTTCATTGTTTAAGTTCACTGTTTAAGTTCACTGTTTAAGTTCACTGTTTAAGTTCATTGATTAAGTTCATTGTTTAAGTTAATTTTTAAGTTCACTATTCAAGTTGATTGTTGAAGTTCATTTTTTTATGTTCATTGTTTAAGTTCACTGTATAAGTTCATTTTTTAAGTTCATTTTTTAAGTTCACTGTTCATGTTCTAAATTTAAGTTCATTGTTTAAGTTCTTTGTTTAAGTTCTTTGTTTAAGTTCATTGTTCATGTTCACTGTTTATATTAACTGTTTATGTTCATTGTTCATGTTAACTGTTCATATTCACTGGTGATGTTCACTAAACAACGATTTTTCATGTT